ATATATATAAATATAAACAAACAAACGAACAAACAAACAAGTGGAAGAATAAATAAATAAATGTATGAATGAATGAATTAATTAATTAAAACATAAAAAAAAACATTATATATAATTTTTAAGTTTTGTGATTAAATTCTTTCTGGTGACAGATTTTTAAAAGCATCTATCAAAAAGCTTGGGTGTCAAGAAAACTGGCTGTGAATAAAATGCATTACTGTTCAGGCTCACCTTGGGAACCAGGTACGGCAGGACTGAGCGACTCTTCACAGCCATGACCTGCTTCAGTCCATCCAGAGCAAACTCTGACGTCTCCTCGTCCTCCTGCAACAGCAGACAAGGACATTTTCAGTGCTCTTCACGGTCTTCTTTCTTTAACTGTGTCAAAGTAACTGCCAACTCTGAAAGTTTGCTGTCAGCAAGACTTGTTTGCAGAGAAATTAATCTATTTACTAGTCAAGGTCACATTAAAATCCTCAAAAGTGGCAGCAAAACACTTTCTTTCAGATACATTTGAACTGTACAACTTAAGGAGAACAGTAATGTTATGAAAAGTAATATATGTACTTAATACTTTTTACATTTAAATATGACAGTACAGGGCAGAATGAGTATGTCGTTTTATTTTCACACATCCAGCTGTTACACTGAATGAAGATTCAACATTATTTCACCTTTATTTTAACCTCTTCTTTTCACTGATGTTACTTTAAAACATTTAATATGCATTTCGTTTACACATGTTCACACATATAACTTTAATTTGACACCAAACTGGATCATCTCATCTGTGTCTTAGCTGCATTATATTCTTTTTATTTCATGTATTAGTTTATTATATTCTGTGTTAGCTAAACTTGAGGATGGTGGATGGCATTCGAAATGAAATTTGTCTGACGATTAATTGCCTAAGAAACAATTGATAGATTAAACAGCTGCAGTCAGAGCAGTCAGTACCAGTTGTTTGAGCAGTGCGGGCAGGATGTCGTCCAGGGCCTGGTGACCGATGGTGGTGTGAAGCTGCTCGAATGTTTTAGCAGCCGCTTCTCGAACCTCCTCCAGCGGGTCACACAGAGCCTTGCGCACGGTGGGCACCAGAGACTCGGAGAACACCAGAACCTGAGCAAACACACAGCTCTTATAGGGACAGTTCACGCAAACATAATTATTACTCACCCTCAAGTGGTTTCAACCTTTAAGAGTTTCTTATTCTGTTGAACACAAAAGAAGATATTCTGAAGAAACTGAAAACCTGTAACCTTTGACTGCCATGGCAGGAAAAACACATACTTTGAAAGTCAATGGTTACAGGTTTTCAGCATTCTTCAAAATATCTTCTTGTGTGTTCAACAAAAAAAAAGAAAACTCATTAAAGGTTTGGAGCAAGTACAGAGTAAACTAGACAGTAAAGTTCGTCGAGACAAACTTTGAGGCTGGCTTGACAAAGCCTGTTGGTAATAGTTTATTTAGTTTAAAAACAGTTTGAAAAAGTATAAGTAGCATGTTATTAGCATGATTCTAGCATAGATTAGCAAGTTATTAGCATGAATTAGCATCTTATTAGTACGATTCTAGCATGGATTAGCATGTTATTAGCATGATTCTAGCATGATTTAGCATGTTACTAGCATAATTCTAGCATGAATTACTGTGTTATAAGCATGATTGTAGTAAAATTAGCATGTTACTAGTGTTTTTCTAGCATGAAGTAGCATGTTATTAGCATGATTCTTGTATGAATTAGCATGTCACTAGCATGAGTCTAGTATGAATTAGCATGTTACTAGCATGATTCTAGTATAAATTAGCATGTTATTAGCATGATTCTAGCATGAATAAGCATGTTACTAGCATGATTCTAGCATGAATTAGCATGTTACTAGCATGATTCTAGTATGAATTAGCATGTTATGAGCATGATTCTAGTATGAGTTAGCATGTTATTAGCATGATTCTAGCATGAGTTAGCATGTGACTAGCATGATTCTACCATAAATTAGCATGTTACTAGCATGACTCTAGGATGAACTGGCATGTTACTAGCATGATTCCAGTATGAATTAGCATGTTATTAGCATGATTCTAGCATGAATTAGCATGTTACTAGCATGATTCCAGTATGAATTAGCATGTTACTAGCATGATTCTAGCATGAATTAGCATGTTACTAGCACGATTTTAGCATGAATTAGCATTATTCTAGCATGAAGTTAGCATGTTGTTAGCATGATTCTAGCATGAATTAGCATGTGCTAAGGTGTTGCTAGGTGGTTGCTAAGGTGTTGCTAGACGGTTGCTAGGGTGTTTTGAGTGGTTGCTAGGTGGTTGCTTAGGTGTTGCTAGGTGGTTGCTAAGGTATCCTAAGTGGTTGCTAGATGGTTGCTAGGGTGTTCTGAGTGGTTGCTAAGGCGTTGCTAGGTGGTTGCTAGGGTGTCCTGAGTGGTTGCTAAGGTGTTGCTAGGTGGTTGCTAGGGTGTCCTGAGTGGTTGCTAGGTGGTTGCTAAGGCGTTGCTAGGCAGTTGCTAGGGTGTTATGTGTGGTTGCTAGGTGGTTGCTAAGGTGTTGCTAGGCGGTTGCTAAGGTGTCCCAAGTGGTTGCTGGGTGGTTGCTAAGGTGTTGCTAGGTGGTTGCTAAGGTATTCTGAGTGGTTGCTAAGGCGTTGCTAGGCGGTTGCTATGGTGTCCTGAGTGGTCGCTAGGCCCTTACTAAGGCATTACTAGGCCGTTGCTAGGCGGTTGCTAGGCAGTTGCTAGGGTAATTTGGGTGGTTGCTAGGCAGTTGCTAGGGTACCCTGGTTGGTTACCAGGCAAACCTCACATACATGCTTGATAAAACATTTATACTTAGTAAGCATGTCTAGCAAGTTACAGTACTTGGCTAGTCAATATTAGCATGTAGCTAATCACTGCTAGCATGTGTAGCATTTAGGAAGTTCCGTTGGCTAGCATGAGTCAAACGAGCCAATCTCCAAGTCTCTACGATGTTCTGATGCTGAGATATAGCTGTTGATGAATGGTTGCTAGGGTACTCTGTTTTGTTGCTATGGGCGAGGTTACAGAGTGCACTTGAATGTGGTTGGCTGTCTAAGTCAAATGAACCAACCCCCATGTCTCTATGACACTGCTATGCAAAGATATGCATCTTGGCCTATTTTAATGGAAGTCTATGGAATCAATTTTGGGGCGTGGCTTGTGAGCTTCATTATCATATTGAGTTGCTCATTGGTTGTCTGAGTCAGATGAGCCATCCCCCAAGTCAATAGGACACTGCTAAGCAAAGATATGAATATGATGAATATGAATAGCATGTTACTAGCATGATTCTTATACAAATTAGCATGTCATTAGCATGTTTCCAGTATGAGTTAGCATGTCATTAGCATGATTAGCATATGAGTAGCATGTTGCTAGCATGATTGGCATGTCATTAGTATGTTAGAATTATAAGCATTTTATAGCACAGCTAATTACAGTCTATAGGCCAGTTGCTAGGGTGCAGTATGTGGTAGTTAGGGGTGTGGCTAGAAAGTTAAAAGGCCATCAGTGATTGGCTGCTGGCTAGACTGAGTTAAATGAGCTCAGCCATTAGTCTGTAGGACAGTCTGATGCAGAGTTATAAGCTCACAAAGTTTGATCCCATGTTAAGTCAATGAGAGTCTTTTGTAATGGAAGTCTACGGGACAGCTGCTAGGGTGCAGTATGTGGTAGTTAGGGGTGTGGCTAGAAAGTTAAAAGCTCATCAGTTATTGGTAGTTTGGTAGTCTGAGTTAAATGAGCTCAGCCATTAGTCTGTAGGACAGTCTGATGCAGAGTTATGAGCTCACAAAGTTTGATCCCATGTTAAGTCAATGAGAGTCTTTTGTAATGGAAGTCTATGGGACAGTTGCTAGGGTGCAGTATGTGGTAGTTAGGGGTGTGGCTAGAAAGTTAAAAGGCCATCAGTGATTGGCTGCTGGCTAGACTGAGTTAAATGAGCTCAGCCATTAGTCTGTAAGACAGTCTGATGGAGAGTTATGAGCTCACAAAGTTTGATCCCATGTAAAGTCAATGAGAGTCTTTGTAATAGAAGTCTATGGGACAGTTGCTAGGGTGCAGTATGTGGTAGTTAGGGGTGTGGCTAGAAAGTTTAAAGCTCATCAGTTATTGGTAGTTTGGTAGTCTGAGTTAAATGACCTCAGCCATTAGTCTGTAGGACAGTCTGATTCAGAGTTATGAGCTCACAAAGTTTGATCCCATGTTAAGTCAATGAGAGTCTTTTGAATGGAAGTCTATGGGACAGTTTCTAGGGTCCAAAAGTGGTTGCTAGGGCGTGGCTAGAAAGTTTAAAGGTGATCAGTCATTGGCAGTTTGATAGTCTGAGTTAAATGAGCCCAGTTAGAAGTCTGTGCGACAGTCTGACGCAGAGTTACGAGGTCACAAAGTTTGGTCCAATGTTAAGTCTATGGGATTTTTCCGACAGTCCCGGGACGTTTTTCGGAAAACCGAAAGTCGGATCAGTCTGAGGAGATATAGCAACCCGAGTCAGAATAGTTCGGAGGTCTGGTGTGAGTTTGGTGGTAATAGCTTGAAAGCTCTAGGAGGAGATGCGTTTTGTTTTTTAGTCTCAGAAGAAGAAGAATAACTAGACAGTAAAGTTCGTCGAGACAAACTTTGAGGCTGGCTTGACAAAGCCTGTTGGTAATAGTTTATTTAGTTTAAAAACAGTTTGAAAAAGTATAAGTAGCATGTTATTAGCATGATTCTAGCATAGATTAGCATGTTATTAGCATGAATTAGCATCTTATTAGTACGATTCTAGCATGGATTAGCATGTTATTAGCATGAATTAGCATGATTCTACCACGATTTAGCATGTTACTAGCATAATTCTAGCATGAATTAGTGTGTTATTAGCATGATTGTAGTAAAATTAGCATGTTACTACCATGATTCTAGCATGAATTAGCATGTTATTAGCATGATTCTAGCATAAATTAGCATGTTATTAGCATGATTCTAGTATGAATTAGCATGTTACTAGCATGATTCTAGTATGAATTAGCATGTTACTAGCATGATTCTAGTATGAATTAGCATGTTACTAGCATGATTCTAGTATGAATTAGCATGTTATTAGCATGATTCTAGCATGAATTAGCATGTTACTAGCATGATTCTAGCATGAATTAGCATGTTACTAGCATGATTCTAGTATGAATTAGCATGTTACTAGCATGATTCTAGTATGAATTAGCATGTTATTAGCATGATTCTAGCATGAATAAGCATGTTACTAGCATGATTCTAGCATGAATTAGCATGTTACTAGCATGATTCTAGTATGAATTAGCATGTTATTAGCATGATACTAGTATGAGATAGCATGTTATTAGCATGATTCTAGCATGAGTTAACATGTTACTAGCATGATTCTAGCATAAATTAGCATGTTACTAGCATGATTCTGGGATGAACTAGCATGTTACTAGCATGATTCCAGTATGAATTAGCATGTTATTAGCATGATTCTAGCATGAATTAGCATGTTACTAGCATGATTCCAGTATGAATTAGCATGTTACTAGCATGAGTCTAGTATGAATTAGCATGTCATTAGGATAATTCTAGCATGAATTACTGTGTTATAAGCATGATTGTAGATGAATTAGCATGTTACTAGCATGATTCTAGTATGAATTAGCATGTTATTAGCATGATTCTAGCATGAATTAGCATGTTACTAGCATGATTCTAGTATGAATTAGCATGTTACTAGCATGATTCTAGCATGAATTAGCATGTTACTAGCACGATTTTAGCATGAATTAGCATGATTCTAGCATGAAGTTAGCATGTTGTTAGCATGATTCTAGCATGAATTAGCATGTTGTTAGCATGATTCTAGCACGAATTAGCATGTGCTAAGGTGTTGCTAGGTGGTTGCTAAGGTGTTGCTAGACGGTTGCTAGGGTGTCCTAGGTGGTTGCTAGGTGGTTGCTAAGGTGTTGCTAGGCGGTTGCTAGGGTGTTCTGAGTGGTTGCTAGGTGGTTGCTAAGGTGTTGCTGGGTGGTTGCTAAGGTGTCCTAAGTGGTTGCTAGATGGTTTCTAGGGTATTCTGAGTGGTTGCTAAGGTGTTGCTAGGTGGTTGCTAGGGTGTCCTGAGTGGTTGCTAGGTGGTTGCTAAGGTGTTGCTAGGTGGTTGCTAGGGTGTCCTGAGTGGTTGCTAGGTGGTTGCTAAGGCGTTGCTAGGCAGTTGCTAGGGTGTTATGTGTGGTTGCTAGGTGGTTGCTAAGGTGTTGCTAGGCGGTTGCTAAGGTGTCCCAAGTGGTTGCTGGGTGATTGCTAAGGTGTTGCTAGGTGGTTGCTAAGGTATTCTGAGTGGTTGCTAAGGCGTTGCTAGGCGGTTGCTATGGTGTCCTGAGTGGTCGCTAGGCCCTTACTAAGGCATTACTAGGCCGTTGCTAGGTTGTTGCTAGGCGGTTGCTAGGGTAATTTGGGTGGTTGCTAGGCAGTTGCTAGGGTACCCTGGTTGGTTACCAGGCAAGCCTCACATACATGCTTGATAAAACATTTACACTTAGTAAGCATTTCTAGCAAGTTACAGTACTTGGCTAGTCAATATTAGCATGTAGCTAATCACTGCTAGCATGTGCAGCATTTAGGAAGTTCCGTTTGCTAGCATGAGTCAAACGAGCCAATCTCCAAGTCTCTACGATGTTCGGATGCTGAGATATAGCTGTTGATGAATGGTTGCTAGGGTACTCTGTTTTGTTGCTATGGGCGAGGTTACAGAGTGCACTTGAATGTGGTTGGCTGTCTAAGTCAAATGAACCAACCCCCATGTCTCTATGACACTGCTATGCAAAGATATGCATCTTGGCCTATTTTAATGGAAGTCTATGGAATCAATTTGGGGGCGTGGCTTGTGAGCTTCATTATCATATTGAGATGCTCATTGGTTGTCTGAGTCAGATGAGCCATCCCCCAAGTCAATAGGACACTGCTAAGCAAAGATATGCATGTAGTCCAGTTATTAACATGAGTCTAGTTTGAATTAGCATGTTACTAGCATGATTCTTGTACAAATTAGTATGTCATTAGCATGTTTCCAGTATGAGTTAGCATGTCATTAGCATGATTAGCATATGAGTAGCATGTTGCTAGCATGATTGGCATGTCATTAGTATGTTAGATTTATAAGCATTTGACAGCACAGCTAATTACAGTCTATAGGACAGTTGCTAGGGTGCAGTATGTGGTAGTTAGGGGTGTGGCTAGAAAGTTAAAAGCTCATCAGTTATTGGTAGTTTGGTAGTCGGAGTTAAAGGAGCTCAGCCATAAGTCTGTAGGACAGTCTGATGCAGAGTTATGAGCTCACAAAGTTTGATCCCATGTTAAGTCAATGAGAGTCTTTTGTAATGGAAGTCTACGGGACAGTTGCTAGGGTGCAGTATGTGGTAGTTAGGGGTGTGGCTAGAAAGTTAAAAGCTCATCAGTTATTGGTAGTTTGGTAGTCTGAGTTAAATGAGCTCAGCCATTAGTCTCTATGACAGTCTGATGCAGAGTTATGAGCTCACAAAGTTTGATCCCATGTTAAGTCAATGAGAGTCTTTTGTAATGGAAGTCTACGGGACAGTTGCTAGGGTGCAGTATGTGGTAGTTAGGGGTGTGGCAAGAAAGTTAAAAGCTCATCAGTTATTGGCAGTTTGGTATTCGGAGTTAAATGAGCTCAGCCATTAGTCTGTAAGACAGTCTGATTCAGAGTTATGAGCTCACAAAGTTTGATCCCATGTTAAGTCAATGAGAGCCTATTGAATGGAAGTCTATGGGACAGTTACTAGGGTCCAAAAGTGGTTGCTAGGGCGTGGCTAGAAAGTTTAAAGGTGATCAGTCATTGGCAGTTTGATAGTCTGAGTTAAATGAGGCCAGTTAGAAGTCTGTGCAACAGTCTGACGCAGAGTTACGAGGTCACAAAGTTTGGTCCAATGTTAAGTCTATGGGATTTTTCCGACAGTCCCGGGACGTTTTTCGGAAAACCGAAAGTTGGATCAGTCTGAGGAGATATGGCATACCGAGTCAGACCAGTTTGGAGGTCTGGTGTGAGTTTGGTGGTAATAGCTTGAAAGTTCAAGGAGTAGATAGAGTTTGATTTTTAGTCTCAGAAGAAGAATAATAATAAAATTAATAATAATAATAAGTTTAAATAGTAGAACAGTAGTCTGGCTTTGACAAGCCAGCCTAATAAGTTTATATAGCATATCAGTAGTCTGGCTTTGACAAGCCAGCCTAATGATGACAGAATTGACCGGAAGAAAGCTGCTGAGCATTATTAGTCCATCAGCTGAAACTCACAGCGTCTTTGCTGGTGGACTTCATGATCTCGCTAAGGCCGATGCAGACACCCTGGCGCTCGTCACTCTTGTCTGAACGCAGACCGTCCTCCAGGATGGGAATGATCTCAGGCAGGATCTTCTCTCCCAGCTTTCTCACCAGGTCACCCAGGGTTCGAGCGGCGATCTGGAAAAGCCAGACAACCAAACATTTAAAAGTATTTTTCATTTTTTTATATTTTCATAATATTTTTAACTGCAGTTAGACTGTTAGAATACTAGAAATCAAAATATATGCAAATAACAAAATAATAATTGATTAAAAAATCATTACATATAATGTGTGACAATAAACAGAGTTTTTAATAAATAAGAAGATGTATTAATTAATTTTATTTTGCAAATACATATTCAAATAAATAATATCAATATAATTAAAAAAATCTATTTAATAGTTATTTGATAATTTAATTTAAAAAAAAAGAATTTAATTATAAGGAAATATGAATATATTCAAATATTTCCAATACTATTCACTATTATAATAATAATAATAATAATAATAATAATAATAATAATAATGTCATAATATGCAATTGTCACAATATATACAATAAATGTATTTTTTTATATTGATCAAAATTTTTAAATATTTTAAAACAGTACAGCACAATGCACATAATGCTAAATGCAAACTGTTTTCCAGATGTCAAAAGTTCAACTATAATACATAATCGCTTATTAAATAAATACATGAAAAAAATATAAATATAAATACAACAAAATACCTTTTTAATATTTATAAAATGTAAATCCACACACTGTTTTCCAAATGTAAAAAGTTGGACTATAATGCATTAATGGTTAATAAATAAATTAATTAATTAATTTAACATAAGGAAATATTAATACATTTTAAAAATTCCAATATGACATAATCACTATAATAATAATAATAATGATAATCACTATAATAATAGTAATAATAATAATAATAATAATAATAATAAAATAATAATGCTATATTAAGCAAACATAAAATGTCACAATATAAATACAACAAAAGTAACTTTTTAATATTTAAAATATATATTTTAAAACATTACAGCACAATGCACATAATGCTAAATCCACACTGTTTTACAAATGCCAAAAAGTATACTATAATGGTGATTAAGGCTTAGTAAATAACTAAATAACATAAACAAAAGAAAATATGAATAATTAAAAATGTCCGATATTAAGTAAATCAATACTATTGACCTTATTCTAAAATGTGGAAGTGCGCCTGTATTCGAGATCGTTTTAGAACTTCCGATTCAGTCGCCTACAGGAGAAATTACTAGGAATAATAAACAGCAGAAAACGGTCAAACTACTGGCTCTACAAACTAATATTTGCATTACTATACAGACCAAGTAGAATATTATAATAAGAAAATATCAGTTTGCAACATCAAGCAGCATAACGAGCAGTTTTTAACTTAGTGCTGTCTAAAAATGAATAAAAAGTGAATGAGACCGGAAGTCTCAAGCCAAAAAGATTCAAATGGCTGCGCCCGCTCGTCAGCAAAGAATAAGGTGAATAGTAATAATAAACAATAATAATAATAACAATGCTATATTAAGTAAATATAGTAGATCACAATATATGTACAATAAAAAACATTATTATTAACATTATGGCACAATGCATACTATAATGCATTAATGCTTATTAAATTTATAAATAAATCAAAAAAATGAAATCACATCCCTTTCAAATCCAGACAAAACTCCTATAACAGTTCTGATGTGTGTTCACACAGAAACTTATTTCCAAAAGCCACACAAGCATGTTTTTTTATTATATATATTTTAAATCGGACTATTAATAAAGCGAGACTGTAGTTATATACAGTTCAATTCAATTCATCTTTATTTCTCTAGCACTTTTACAATGTAGATTGTGTCAAAGCAGCTTAACACAGAAGTTCTAGTAAATTGAATCTGTGTCAGTCCAGTTTTCAGAGTTGAGATCAGTTCAGTTGAGTCTGGTATAAATGTATGCATGTACCGTTCTCTTGTCGGGGCAGGTGGAGGCCAGGAAGCCCAGCAGCAGCGTGAAGAGTGTGGGCAGGATTTCTCTGAGGGTTCGAGGAGTGTTTGACACCACAATCTTCCACACATGAAGAGACGCCTGTCGGACCACCAGCTGTGTGTCTGAGCGGCCCATGTAGAGTCCAGACAGCACACGGTTACGCCTCTCTGCACCCAGAGCTGAGATAATGGCCTGAGGATAACCACAAACATTTATACACAACTCGTCTTTTTAAACATGTTTCTTTCTATTGTAATAGCAAATGGACAAAAAAAAAAAAAAAGTTTAAATCAAACATATATTGAATATTTATTTACCTTATTTAAATATGATTGAGGTTTTTCCAAACATAAAAACATGTCTTACAAATTATAAATCTAGTTATTTAATCAATAAGAGCTTATTTCACATGTTATTAAATCAATATGTAAAAAAATATGTAGAAATTTGACCAAAGAAATTTTTTGATTAAGAAAATTGATATTATCTTAAAATTTACTTAATTTAATAATAAAATAATAGATTCCAATATTAAAAATCACAAAATTACTAAATTTTCTTTCACTCAGTACATGGAACAAGATTGCAAATAAACATTATGTCAGGGTTCTGCCACTCTGGTCTTTGTAAATTCTTGTTTTGGTAGCAGAGCTCTGACACTACCCATGTCCGGTCCTGTATCTGTCTCTGTGTGCGCGCACGCCGTCAAGGGTGTATGCAGAGTGTGCGCGCTGCCGCTTGATGTGGCCGCGCACGCACTGCGTCCGTCAGACGCGCACGCTCTTGTACTAGTGTTTGTGTTTGTTCTGTCAGCAGCGCGCTGCTTTATTCTCGGCGCCTCCGTCTAGTTGGTTTCAGTTTTGGTTGGCGCTGAGATGAAGCATGCGCGTTGCTTATGTGTGAGCGCACGGTAAGGTGTTCATCTATCGAGTGCTCGTGTCTTGCGTCTTTTGTCAAAGCACGTGGCCCGATGTTAGCATTGTGGTCACGTGCTTTTTGTCGTGTGCTTCAGTGTTGTGCTCGTCTTGTCATGAACATGCGGTTGATGAGTTCTCTCATTGGCCGCATGTTCTTGTCCTGTGTTATGTGAGCGCATGGCTTGTGTTGTCTCTCTGTGTCATGCGCTCTCCCGTCTATTGTCTAGTCCCACCCTCCTTGTTAACCCATTATTAGTTAAATATGTTCATCTGTTTTTTGTTAATTTCCTACAGTTTATAAACCCCTTATGTCTGCTGTCCTGTGTGAGTTCGTCATCATATGTTGTCGATGTTTACCTGTCCTGCTGTGTCTAGCCCTGCCTTGTCGTGCCTGCCCAGTCAAGTTTGTTTGTTTGTTTGTTTTACTGTTTATTGTAGTAGTGTTTTCCCCCTTGGGGTTGTTTATTTTTGCCTTTTATTTTATTTTTTAATTAATAAATCCTACTTCACTCTGCGCTTGGGTCCTTGCTCCTTTTTCCCTTCACCGATCCTGACACATTAAGAAAATTAAAATGTTTATTTATAAAACTATTTATTATTTATTTACTAAAATAATTCCTTAAATACTTTTTAAATAAAGGAGACTTTAGAAAAATATATTTTTATTAGGAAAAAGGTTTTTCCTAATATAAAAACATTTCTTTCTTTCTTTCTTTCTTTCTTTCTTTCTTTCTTTCTTTATTGATTGATTGAAACAATATGAGCTTCAATTCTTTCCTTAAATTTGTTTTTTAAAAATATGTAAAAAATAAAAAAATTATCTATTTAATATTTAAATTTATTGAACCAGTACAGTATTAAGAAAACAGAGCTCATGTTAACAATTGATAAATCTATAATAGATTATAAATCTATAATCTCTAAATAAAAATATTTAAAATAATATTATAAAATAATATTTGAAGAAAGACACTTTTTAAAAAGATTATTAAGATTTCTTCTAATATAAAAACATGCATCAATCAGAACTTCAGTTGTTTCCTTGAAAATGGGTTAAAACAACTCTGTAAAAATAAAGAGAAAAGATCAACTAATTACTAATGAATTATTTTAATTTAACAAGTACGGTATTAAGAAAATAGAGTTCATGTTACATTTTTTTTACTTAATTAAATATAAATCTGGGGTCGAGGCAGTGGCGCAGTAGGTAGTGTTGTCGCCTCACAGCAAGAAGGTTGCTGGGTCGCCAATTCGAGCCTCGGCTCAGTTGGCGTTTCTGTGTGGAGTTTGCATGTTCTCCCTGCATTCGCGTGGGTTTCCTCCAGGTGCTCCGGTTTCCCACACAGTCCAAAGACATGTGGTACAGGTGAATTGGGTAGGCTAAATTGTCAGTAGTGTATGAGTGTGTGTGTGAGTGAATGTGTGTGTGGATGTTTCCCAGAGATGGGTTGCGGCTGGAAGGGCATCCACTGCGTAAAAACTTGCTGGATAAGTTGGCGGTTCATTCCGCTGTGGCGACCCCGGATTAATAAAAGGACTAAGCCGACAAGAAAATGAATGAATGAACGAATATAAATCTATAATTAATAAAATTATTAAAATACTTTAGAAAAAAGAATGTTTAAAAAGATTATTTAAAAAAAAAAGAAGATTATTAAGGTTTTTCCATAATATAAAAGCATGTATAATAAATAATGAATTATTTATTTATCTAATTAGTACTTATTTTAATTTCTTTATCAAGCACAGTATTACAAAAAATTTACCTCATATTAAAAATTGATTAACTTAAATAATAGATTAAAATATTAAAATTACAAAATATTACATTTGCTTTCACTCAGTACATGAACAGGAAATAAAAAACAAATTTTATTATTATTTTTTTTATTAACTCCCAGTCATGGGTTGCAGCTGGAAGGGCATCCGCTGCGTAAAACATATGCTGAGTAAGTTGGCAGTTCATTCCGCTGAGGTGCCTCTGTTTAATAAAGGGACTAAGCCGAAAAGAAAATAAATTAATGAATTATTTTATTTAATATTATTATTAAATCTAATTATTATTAAAAAGTAATTATTTAAAAAATTAATTGTTTATTACTTATTTCTTAAATGCATAAACTATTTAAACAGATTGTTTTACTAATAATTGATTAGGAAATGTAAGAAAATATCATTCCTTACATTAACTTTAACTTTTAATATAAAACATTTAAGTATTATTAAAAACTCCTTATAAATAACTTCTAATAATAACTAATTATTAGAGTTAGCACTCCAGTGATGGCCTGGGAATACTGCACACAGACACAACAGGAAGCCAGGGCTGTATTGTGTCACTGTAATGAAAGCTGCTCTGTCAGACGGTGAGCTGAGGGCTCATTATATGACAGCGTACCTTATTTGACTGGGCCGTGCCAAAGTTGTCATCCTCTGATGCTGTTTCTGTTGTCATCTTTCCTGTTACCCCCGAGATATGGAACAGCAGGTCTCCTAGCAACTGCACAGAGCTGAATCTGCAAGACCAAAAGCATCAGCATCATCATCATCGACATGGGTTTTTCTCTGTCCAAACCTGACATTCAGAAATCAGTGCAGTTGATGACCTGTATATGATGCAGATATTTGGGCTTTTTTATCGTAATGTCTGGCTGATATTTTTGTGCCTCCCTTTTTTCTAATAAAATTTAACATTGTAGTACTGAAGATGTGATACGAAAAATAGCTTGAATTAAACAGACAAAACTAAGACCTGTCTAGTCAGTAATAGGAATAATGACACTATAAATAATGCTACTAACGTCAATACTTTTTTCAGTAACGAGTAATCAAATCCCTCGTTACAATGCCCTTACCGTTATGTTTTATATTTACTATATAGTCATTAGACTAATTCGATATGTACGTAACGCAATAGTTTACTTTCGTTGGTAATTACTTACTTTTATAATGATGTAACTCAGTTACTATTTGTGAGAAGTAACTAGTAGCTATAACCAATTACTCTTTTAAAGGAACGTGCCCAACACTGATAATCAGTACACTAATGACCTTATTCTTCAACGCGCTCGTTTTTGCGATTGTTTTAGAACTTCTGATTCAGTTTCCTATGGAAGGAATGACTTGGAATAATAAACGGCAAAAAACGGTCAAACTACTGGCTCTACAAACAAGTGTGTTCATGACTACACAGACAAAATAGAATAATATAATAAGAAAATATCAGTTTTTACTCTGTTTTCTCATTGCCAACACAGGAACTCTGGAATGATGTGTATATGTGTGTGTATATATATCTATATTAGGGATGTAACGGTATTGTAAATACCGTCATACCGCAATAGCAATTTTTTTCGATATTACCGTAGTCGCATGACTCGGTAAAACTATAGGTCTTCTGAGAAAATTTGCGAATCAGGCGAATGAAGCGAACGGGAGATAGCGGAAACTACAATTCCCATCAGCCCAGGCGTGGCCATCATCCTTTGCGGTCTGTTGTCGCTACAGATCCAGTAATGCGGAAATGGAGTGTGCTGCTAGTAGCGGGCATGAAAAAGAGCTGGAAATGATCGAACCTGAAGCGGGTGTTGTCGCCGCGCGCGTACTGAATAGCGGTGGTGTCGCGCGTGTTCTGATCAGCTGTGTTGTCGCGCGCGTACTGTAAAGCGGGGAGGGGGGGTTGAGCGCGTATACTCAAGAGCGGTGTTGTCGCGCGCCTACTGAAGGGTGGGACGGAGGGTATGTCGCGTCGCGGGGGCACTTTTGATCATTTTGGAAGGGCACTTTCTATCCAAGACTAAAAAGGGCATGTGCACTGCACAGGCTGAGCCCTATGTGTGCACGTGCCTGTAAGTTGGGGAATAGGACTAATAATCAGTCATGGGGACTGCAGAAACACAGCACACTGTTCAGATTGATGCAGACATGAGATCTCTATCTCACTCATGGTTTGTCTTCTCAAGTGGGGGAAAGACAATGCACAACGTTACCCACTGCTGTCAACCTGGGCCAAGTCATATCTCTGTCCCAGAAACCTCAGTCCCAAATGAGAGGTTTTTTTTTTCTGTTGCAGGGGACATTGTAAATACCCAGAGATCCCAGCTTTTACCAGATTATAGTTATATGATAATTTTTCTTAAAACCAATCTCTATCTAAGTGAGTGAGTGATTAAATGTTGAATGTGATGAGTTTTTAACAATACTAAATTGAAACTTTATTTTTTTACATGGTTTAATAATTTTTTGTTATTAAAATTGAAGTTCCTGTTTCAAAGCTTACAGATAGATAGCTAATTTGTATGTCATTGACACTTTTGGCACTTTTTTGGAGTATTTTCATTAGTTTTGTTTTTCCTGTAAATGATTCAATAAATACCGTACCGTGACATTCATACCGAGATATTACCGTACTGTGAAATTCTGATGCCGTTACATCCCTAATATATATATATATATATATATGTGTATGTATGTATGTATGTATGTATGTGTATGTGTTTTAGAGCTGCACGATTCTGGCTAAAATGAGAATCGCGATTTTTTTGCTTAAAATAAAGATTATAGCATTAGCATTAGAATCATTATCCACATGCCAGCATAACAGCATCATAAATACCAGGATTAGTATCAAAACCTTGACTGACCAACACTAACTCATGTCAATCCGTAACATTTTGATTTAGCGGCTAATTCGTATCAATTTGTATGACTGTACATTTAAATGAGATTTGCTCATCTCATACCGAAGATACCGTTAAGGGGTGGGGTTTGGTGCATGGCTCCTTTCAAAAATCATACACTTTCATACGCCATTGAACTCGAATTTGCACAAATTAGCCACTGACAAAATGTAAAATAGTAACGTTTTCTGGTGAGATCAGCCTGAGTTAGCAGGCATCTGAAACTGGGGATGTATGGATGAAGGCAGTGTTTAAAGGTTGAAGTTCTCACCTGATCCTCCAGAGGTCATCAAACAGGCCCTGCTCCAGCTCGGGCAGCAGTAGAGCGATGGCCGTCTCTGCGTACATGCTGATGATCCTCTGACCCGCACGCAGAGCTGTGTCTCGAACATACTCGTTCTCATCAGCCAGAGCCTGAACACACACACACACACAAAGGTAACTTACTCTTGACGACAGCAATATTCCTCTATTAAAGACTTTTCGATAAATAGGGATGCACCAAATCTTCCAAATAGTCCTTGCTGCAACACTGTAATGCGCATGTGCAACATGATGATCATGCATTGACATTTAGCAGACGCTTTTACCCAAAGCGACTTACAAATGAGGACAAGGAAGTAATTTACACAACTATAAGAGCAACAATGAATAAGTGCTGTAGGCAAGTTTCAGGTATGTAAAGTGTAAAAAGCAAAACATTATTTTTTTATGGCTTGGTTAGCGGTGGAGCCAAAGAGGCAATTGCAGATTAGGAAGGGAAGTGGAGACTAAATAGATGAGTTTTTAGTCGTTTCTTGAAGACAGCGAGTGACTCTGCCGTTCTGATGCAGTTAGGGAGGGCCTATAAATCTGCAGAAGTGAAAGCAGATAAGAAAGAGCAAAGCCAGAAGTCGCTTTGTAAGCAAACATCAGAGCTTTGAATTTGATGCGAGCAGCAACTGGCAGCCAGTGCAAACGGATGAGCAGCGGAGTGACATGTGCTCTTTTAGGTTCATTAAAGACCACTTGTGCTGCTGCGTTCTGGAGCAGCTGAAGAGGTTTGATAGAGTTAGCTGGAAGCCCGGCTAGTAGAGAGTTGCAATAGTCCATTCAGGAGAGAACAAGAGCTTGAACAAGGAGTTAAGCTGTATGTTCAGATAGGAAGGGTCGGACCTTTCTGATGTTATAGAGTGCAAATCTGCAAGATCAAGCAGTTCTAGAACTGTGAGGTAAGCATTTGCTGGATGTTTTTAATGCGCATTTTAGCTGTGTTTAAACCACAATTCTTCTTTATTCATGTTTAAATGTCAGTTTAAGGTCATATCAGCAGCACTGGGTATATTCATGGCAACAATTTTACATTTAAAAAGTCCTTTGAATTTGATCAATAAATAATCTAGTAAAATTCCTCCAAAAGACAATTTTTTTAAACATTTCTCTTATAGTAATTGCTTCTATACATGTTGACTTGCACAGAGGAAAACAATCCTGTTCTATGACTAAAAGTTTAAAACATTTACCTTTTTGGGGGTTAACTATCCATTTATTATGCATCTTCATGTTTAAAAATTTTTTTAAATGGATGTAAATCTTCTTTATGATTAAAAATGAAGCATTAAATCATCTAAACAGAGACTGTGACATCAAACACTCCAGATTAAACTGCAATATGTATGCCAGATGATCAGACAGTACCTTTAGGATGCAGGGGATGATGGGACCCACATATGGGGTGAACTTGTCCCCGAAGGTCAGAGGAAGGTAGATAAACATCATGATATATCCGTCTCGGACGTGAGAGGCGATGTCCACTTTACTGGCTGTCTGAACCACATCTGGCATCAGTTTATCCAGCTTCTCCACACCTAGAGCCGCCATCACCTCAGCCAGACCTGAAGACCATGAAGAAGAGGAGAGAGAAACACCATTACAAACCCAACGATACAGCGTCTCACATCTGTGAACAGCAGTTATGGGTGAAAAACTATAAGATGTGGCTTCTTCTTTGGCTCTCGGCGAAGGCGGTCGCACTTTGTTCCTCTCTGTCCCATATCATTACCGGCTGGCTCCTCTTGTCTCATCTTATTCTTTCTCTGAGGCTCTCCGTGCCCTGTTATCCAAACGAATAAGAAATTATGGATTTGATCAACTGGTCTCTCAACACGATTGACACCATCTTCTCCATGAGAAATTTGGGCTCAGGAGAGCCCACTTGTCCTACGGGGACGTTTGCAGCTGGATACATGATGGACCGGGGGGAGAAGTGGCGCATCTTGTGTCTGGCTGCTCTGTCCCTGGACGATATTGAAGATATCTACCTATTCGGAACTTTGAATTCAGGGTTTCTGCAGATGGGCTCATGCAGGGCCCTGGGGTATCAACGATTAATAAAAAGCGGTCAGGGCTGCTCAAAACTCCACCAAGCTGGCCAGCTTGATTGAAACGGTTAATAACCAGACTGTAGTCTTAGATCCCAAATTGGAAAACACTGGGGTAAAACTAGCGGCTTTGCAACAAGATTTGACCAGACCCCGAGACCAGTGACGGACATTGAATATCTGTGAAGTGACAGATATTGATCCAAATTTTAAATACTTTTCTTCTCTTTCGGCTTCCCTATGGCTCGACTGGAGACAAACAACTCTTCCCAGATAGCAAGATAATGGAGACGCTCTGAATTCCTGCTCCCTGTCAAGGACACCTGTTGGACTCTACAGGCTTTTATGCACGCACGCACGCACGCACGTGCACACACACACACACACACACACACACACACACACACACACACACACACACACACACACACACAGCTACAGCTAGACAATCACTACCTAGCCTAGTGGGTAGGCGGGTCTGTGACTAGCGCCCGCTGGCTGCAGGACCAGATGGCTGCCCGCCCTCAACTGATTATATCCACATCCCCTGTTACAATGTTAACAGCTCTCGGTAATATTTCAGCATGCTTTCACTTTCGTATTTTGACATGAAACTCACATTTACCGGTAGGAATGACATCTTACGCTACTTATAATTCTCTCTTTATATAGCCAAACAAGCCTATGACATATCCATAATATTCTGTGATATAGCCTGGCTCGGACAGTTTTGCTTTCTCACAACAATCGATCCACTCCTGAGTTTGTTTCAATTGAGCCGAGACCACCTCATTCAGGCGATTTCAGACCGATAGATTCGGCGCGGATGCGAGCATAGTTGCTGGATTCACATATGCCAAACAATAAACACTAACTGGGGAAACGAGCCAGGTTTCGAAACAAAATTCTAGGTGTGAAAGCACCCTAAGACACTTCTGTTATCATGCTCTTTTCTCATGTGAAACAGTGATTATAGGTCCAAATAATCATAAAATAATGACAGTGATTAATTATAAATATAAATAAATATAATTGCTTTATGAATTATACCATATTAGACAAGTGTATATTTTTTTCAAATATTAAGATGGCAAGATGAAAATTAATTCTGATACCTAATAATTTATTTAAAAACACACCTAATGTAGCTTTACATTCAAATAAATAAAATTTAATAACATTGCTTGTTTTCTTGCATCACTTTTTTAATGAAACTCATAATTCTTTTAATATTTAAACTGTGCTCTATTCATTCTAATGTTCTCCTTAAAAGGATAGTTCACCCAAAACTGAACCTCTCTTTTAACTCTCCTTCGTGTGGGTTTTAAACCTTTATTAGTTTCTATCTTCTGCTGAACACAAAAGATGTTGTTTAGAAAAAAGCTGGTTGCCAACAACATTCTTCAAAATATCTTCTTTTTGCGTTCAACAGAACTCAAACATGCTTTAAACAAGTGAAGAGTGAGTAAATGACGAGAGACCTCATTTTTGTGAGAACTATGCCTTTAAGAGTAATTAATTGTGGTTTTGGGATCTGAGCATCGATGGTTTTGCTCTTCAGTGTTTGGACTTTCAGCAGTAAAAAAACACACCGAACTGAACTAAACTGCACTTCAAATGTTTCAATTTACTTCAACTTCTATGCTTACCTGCTTTGACACAATCTTCATTGTGAAAGTGATATAAAAATAAAGATGAATTGGCGCTGTGTTAGTGTGCATGTGTCTGCTGCCCTCTACTGGTCTGTTCTCACCTTGCGCAGCTCCTGATCGATCCACAGAGCTCTGTTCAGACGCCAGAGTCTCCATCAGCCACGGCAGCAGATCCTCAAAGGAGGACTCACCCATTCCCTTCACCATCGCACCCAGAGCCTTCGCTGACACCGTCCGCACCTAAAAGAGCACACACACTAATGAGACACACAACACAGACAGAAAGAATGCGCGCGCACACACAGCACTGATCAAGACAGCTTCACAGGACAGGCAGCATTACCTCTGGCACAGGGTCCAGCAGAGATGCTTTGAGGCCTGGAATCACACTGGGCAAATACGGAGACAGATCCTGAAAACGCATACACACAGTAAATCTATGAGCCATTTAAAGCCATTCATGTGTTACACTGATTTACCAGGGTTAATGCATATTCTTAACCAGAATTATTGTGTCACTTGGCATAAGGTTGCTTATAGCTACATCACAATGACAATTAAAATACTTAAAATAGTTGTAAAAACTATGTATTTTGTCAGTAAGAACACTATAATATAAATATATATAATTTTTATGGATGAAAACACATGAATGAACCAGTGTTCTGTGCATCATGTACCTTCTGGTCAGTGAGTGAGTACATGTTTCCGATGATCTGCGCCGCCATCTTGCGCGTGTCGGTGGATCTGTCCTGGAAGGCTCTCTGGACGATGGGCATGATCAGAGCCAGAGATGGAGCATCGATGAAATGCACAAACTTGGTGTCCAGCAGTGTCTGCAGGCAGTGCTGCGTCCTGTGAGACGGGTCAGTCAGAGCGTCCAGCAGGATCGGGGTGATCGCTGAACAAATCACAAAAATCAAACCAGTGTGATCTCAAAAAAAAAAAACTGACCATTTTTAATTTTTTCAGTAAAGTTTGAAAACTTTAAACCAATTTCCTTCATCTCATCGCCAAACAGAACACCACACGGACCAGTAGGACTTTTATTACATATCAGAAATCTTCATAGACTTACAGATTTAGATTTTTTCTTCAAAGGTTGAATATTTTCATAAGATCACAAGATAATTTTTCATACAAACCTCTAAGTGTGGCTCAGAATGTTTCTGGGAAGTTTTAGCCCCAAACATCAGAAAGATTATTTATTATAGTTAACCAAATTCTGCCCTATTTGGGAGTGAGCAAAAACTTGCTGTTCTTTGTGTGTGCGTCCCTTTAAATTCAAATGCTTTGAAGAAGGGGGTAGAGCTTTAGGGTGCTTTCACACCTACACTTTTGTTTCGGAACCTGTCTCGTTTGCCCAGTTAGCGCAGTTCGTTTGGCAAATGTGAAACCACCAATCGCACTCGGATCTGCGACAAAACAATCGATCCGAGATCGCTTGAAAGAGGTGGTCTCGGCTCGATTGAAACAAACTCTGGAGCGGATCGATTGTAGTGACAAAGCAAACGATCCGAGCCCGGCTATATCACAGTGTTTTATGGATAGGTCATATGCATACGGCTATATGAAGAGAGAATTATGAGTAGGGCGGGAGGTAATTCAACAGACATCCCAAGTCTCCCGCAAGTTTCGGTAGTCACCCGCAAATGCACAGAGACTCCCGGATGCCCGCACACAAGTGATAATCTCCCGGTAATCACGCGTCTCCCTCCCAGTCCTAAAATACCTGGCGTACCCTTCTCACCCCTCTCCACCGCATCCCTCCACACTTTTCAGACACGTCGCACGCACCTTGTCAAACACCACCAACCACCACCCCCCATGAAAGCTGAGCGGGACTCTGCAAAATAAACCGTGAAACTCGGACCAATGTGAGGAGAGTTTACTCACGTGACTTGTTTTAGCCCTTATGGTCCGTTTAGAAACTTTGCAGTGTGAAAGCGAACCGCACGAAGAGCAAAGAGAAACAATGTAACAATCCATGTTTCGGAACAACTGAATTGATTCAGAGGTGTGAAAGCACCCTTAGAGTGCTTTCACACCTGCCTTATTTAGTTCGATTGAATCGCACTAGAGTTCGTTTCCCCTTTTGGTACGGTTGGTTTGGGCAGGTGAGAATGCAGCAATCGTACTCGAGTGCGCACCAAAAGCGGACCAAATAAGTGTACCGAGACCTGCTTGAAGAGGTGGTCTCGGTACGCTTTTAAACAAACCCTGGAGCGGTTTGTTTGTGGTGAGAATATGATCCGTACTAAAGCAGGTCCAACAAAATGGCAAAAAGTTCTGCGACTTTTGGACTAATCCAGCTGCCGTAGACCGATGCGCTGTGCATTATGGGATATGGAGGAAAAATATTTGTTGACAGCGCTTTACCAACAGACAGAGAGAGAGGGGAAAACATTACCCGATGGATCGTTGCTAATATTTCCGCAAGATGAGCATGTCGCAGTTTAGCTAAGTTAATTCACGCCTCCTGAAGTGACGAGCGATGCATTAAACACTGTTTTCCAGCCGCGGCCACGCTTCATTCTCGAAATGTATAGTTTGCCTAAAGCAGGGGTACAATCAGCCAGCGCAGTCGTCCCTCCAGAGTAAAAACGACATTTTGTATCTGCCGGTTTTGTTTACTTGCCAGAGTTCATTGGCATTTTCCCGCACATGAAATCTGACCAATCAATAAGCAGTTTAGGAAATATGTTCAACAACATCTGGCCAATGAGAGATGTGGATTTTGTCAGATGACTGCATTTTGGTTCGTTTCAACTGGTTCGGACCAAAGCCAGCCGTGTGGTGTGAAAGCGACCCAAAGACGGCAGAAAAATGCAACAATGTGTCATTTATTGGCCTTGATCTGGATCAAAAGAAGCGAACTACAGGCGTGAAAGCACCCTAACACTACATTCTGACTGAAAAACCAAAACACGATAATCCCACACTGTTGAAATAGTAGAGGATTAAAGAAAGTGTTTTTAACCAAAACCATGTGTTGTTCAATTTTGGACTATTTTGATCTACTTCAAATGTTGACTAATATATACAGTGCACAGTTAATGTGTGTTTAGGAATTAGGCCGACAGTGATCATTTTCATGCTCATTGTGGAAAACAATTAATTCAGTGACTTCAATGTCATGACAATATGAAAATTCTCATGTTTGCTGGTCTGTCCATCAATATTGGAGCATGTGTAATGTTCTTTCTAGCACAGATGTTACAGTAATATATAATAGCATATAAAATATATAAGAGCAAAATAAAAGAAACACAGGAAGAGTCAGATTTTCCTGATATGTCCACATTAGGAAAGAATATTTCCTACCGAGGATCTCAGGGTTGCGGATGACGGAGCCGATCTGTCGAAGCGCCTGCTGTCCGGCCTTCTGCACCTTCACATGAGAGTCTGTCAGAACCTCTGTCAGCTTCGGGACAATGTTGGGCAGACATGAGGACAGCTGTTTAGGAGCGCAGTACGCCATCGCACCCAACAACTCCACTGAGCCTAGAAGAAATACAATATATCAGAAATACAACTATACAGTATATATATATTATATATATTATATTTATGAAGAGTTCAGATGGAAAACCCTCTAAATCAGGGGTCAACAATCTCGGTCCTGCAGGGTTTAGCTCCAACTTGTCTTAACACAACTGCCTGAGTGTTTCAAGTATACCTAGTATCACCTTGATTAGCTTGTTCAGGTGTCTTTGATTAGGGTTGGGGCTAAAATCTGCTGGACACTGGCCCTCAAGGAACAAGTTTGGTGACCTCTGATCTAAATCCATCAGAATTCTTTTCATGTAAATGAGCATTTTCTATCAGGCTCCTCTGATTAGGTTTAATGTTTTATTTTATATGTAATGATGAGGTTATTAGCTAGTAAATAATATAATAACTTTTTTCAAAAATATCACTTTAGACATTTCTTTGGTTCTTAAAAAGGTAGATTTTCTTTTGGTCAAAACCAGCTAAACCCACATCTGCTTTTTAGGCAAAAACCTCTAAATCCAACTAATGTGGCAGGACAGCGTTATTAGTTGAAAAATCACTAAAGATGAAATTTTAAATTATTTTACCAAACATAAAACACATTACACAAACCACATATGCTACATTGAAAACATATGAACAAACTTATTTCTGAATGAGCCGACGCTGGGATTTGGATGATTAGAAGCAAATCTTTTTGTTGATGGTGTACTACACTCAATTTAATTATCTTAAGTGATTTTTAGCGGATTTTATATATTACTATTACTATTACTAAATCAAAGATTTAAACTAAAATACAAACTATATAAAACATTTGTAAGTAATGAATGTAGTATTCAGTAATGATAATAATAATATACATGTATAATATATATACACATACACACATACATGTATAACAGCAAACAATAATAACACAAAATGCAGTTTTTTCTTGTTAAGTTTTGTTAATGAACATAAATAAGAAAAAGATTATAGAAATTATTTAAATAAACTATGTTGTTTTTCCATGTGAGATGTTTAATCAAATTTATATAAATCAAAAATTAACAGTTAAATTAAACAGATAACTAGAAATAAAACTACTAATTACTACTACTACTCTTACTAAATAATGCAATGCACTTTTGTGCAATAAATAAAAATATGATAACTGTAGGACATTCATATAAAATAATACATGGAATAGAAAAATTACCATCAAAATGATCAAACAAAAACATACAAATACATAATGACATAATACAATGACAAACAGCTATTTTTTCCATGTTTATAGTCATATTTAAACATATGATTATTATTACTAAATGTTTACACCATACAACTATTATAGGTCTATTAACAGTAGTCTGTAGCGTGAACAGACCTGCTTTGGTTCTCCAGGACTCCTCCTCCAGCGCCACCAGCAGAGACGGCAGAACCAGCTTCACCCCGTGAGCGCTCAGATTCCTCATCACAGCCTTAGCACAGTCATCTGCAGCCTGACGCACACATTAAACAACATGCAGATTAACTTTCCGCTAAGTTATCCATATCAAGATAAAAGTGCATGCAATATACGTATCGCAGACACGGGATAAACTACATTTACTTCATGTATTGGCTGGTTTATCTAAATTTGACCAATCAGATGAGGCCTTAATATCTTTATCCCCACCTCCCCTGTGGTTGATGTTCTGCTATTGGCCAGAAACTGAATCCAGAGCAGAAAATAAATACTTATGGCGGAGTCAAATGAAAATGACGACAGCCAATCAGTGTCAGAATATCATTAATGATGGTCTTGATTTTGTGCGGTCAAATCTTTATTTTAACAAGACACTTATTAATTACGCAACACATTATTATTATGTGGGTCATACTACACAATGATTTATTGCTTGCTCTTGTCGAATTTAACAGAAGATAAAGAGCTTTTAAAAAATTCACATTCACTTGCATTTGCAATAGTGGGGGGAAAATGATAACAATAATATATTTTTGGTATAAAAAAAGGGCAATCATACAGAATGACACAAATGATACTCTGGGAGTGTAAAGCAGGTGTTTGTACCTCTCTGACGTACTGATTCCCATCACCGAAACACAGCAGCAAGTGAGGGAGGACATGAACCACATATGGCTCGAATAACTTCCCCAGCATGTTACACAACATCTCAAACGCAAACAGAGCCCCTGAAAAACACAAAAAATGTGCATATTGTGATAAACAGGGTTCCCACTCTATCATAGACGCCACATTCAAGGACTTTTTCACAGCCCTAGCATATATAGTGCCTGGGATTTGGATGATTAGAAGCAAATCTATTTGTTGAAGGTGTACTACATGCCTAAAGCATTCACTCAATCTCATTTTTGGCGGAAGTGGCGTTTAGCGGCTTTTGCATCTGAACTCTTA